TTTTGATGTATTTTTCTTGTTCACATATCGTGGTATTATCAGTCTTCACCACATGACACGTGCTGTGATTTGTCATCTTGCAGATGAACTATGAAGACTTTTGCCATATTGCATCTGTGTGTACAGAGCAAATAGGCCCTAAATGTCGACGCTTCTTCAGCCCTTCAAACTTCATGAAGTTTGAGAAAGATGAGTCAGGAAGGATTGCCATTTTGCCCTTTTATTTATATGTTATGCGGACCGTGAGTGATTTATTGATATTAGTGTACTATATACTACTGTTATCCCTTCATAATTTTTTATATCCTTGGGTTGGCTACTTTAGGATAGTGGGTATTTGAGCACCTAAGAAATTAACATAGAATAGAAATGTATACATTAAGAAAATCAGGGTTGAACAATTTTTGTTAATGAATTTTTCCTTACACTGCCCACTGGAATCTGGATGTGATTCCTTTTTGCTCCTTATTTTGTTGATTGATGATGCAATTCCTTGATTGCTGCTTATGGTTCATTGTTCTTCAGGTTTCACTTACACAGGCCAGAATTGACATGAGTGAGCTTGATGAGGATTCAGATGGTTTCCTCCAACCTCATGTATGTGGTCTGCATCTGAGTCCTTTAAATGATCTCTTTTATTCTTCACAACAGCTTGAATTGTTTATTGCCTATTGCACAGGCAAACTGCAATAACTGTTGATTTTTCAGGAAATGGAGGCCTATATACGAGGCCTTATTCCCAATCTGGCACAACTGCGGGACATGCCTGGACCCTTTGTTCAGATGTACTGCCGCATAGCTGCACACAAGTTCTTCTTCTTTTGTGATCCACATAGACGAGGTCTGTGTGTGTTAGTTTAATTGCAAACAATAAGTTTAGTTGTTCGTTTTCACCATTCCCACTTGTTTTCCCTTCAAGTTTATCAACATATTTTCTTTGGGTGTAATTCTTTGTTTTCTTGTGCATGATGATATCTTGTCACTGTTGTATTTTCCCATGCAACATAACCTGTCAAATATTTAGAAAATATTAGTTGGTCTTATGGATGATTCATTTTTACCTTGTCTGACCACCAAGTTGCTTATTTTCAAGGTGATTATTAATTGACCAGGTCCATTTTATTTATGCTCATTAGTTGTTTAAAATAGTTGATGCTCAGCATTGCTTACAGGAAAAGCATGCATAAAGAAGGTGCTTCTGAGTAACTGTCTCCAGGAGCTAATGGAACTGCACCAGGTAGATTGTTGGGGAATTTTCTCTAAATAAATGCATCTTTTATAATTCAATAGCTGCTCAGGACTTGCTTCTCTTAATAATAAAATAGAAAGATGGAACATTCTTTCTTTAGAAGTGGAAATCCTAAAATGCCAATGTAAAAGGTGTAGAAAGAAAAGAAACTTGGTTTTCTAGATGATCCATTAGGACTTAGGAGTGTTGTATTTTTTTTTCCTACAACTTTTTGGATTAACATGTTATTTAGCTAATTAAAAGAATTTCAGATAATTTTAAGTATCAATTGTTTATGATGATATCGTTAAGAAAATATAATTTCTTGTTTTCATTCTTTTGTATATTTTTGTATCAGGAAAGTGAGGAAGAAGTCACTGACACTGAACAAGCTGAAAATTGGTTTTCTTTGACATCTGCACAACGCATATGTGGTGAGCACTTTGCTGTCCCTTACTTTCTTTTCAGACAGCTTCTGTTAATCTATTTTAAATGTATTTTTTTATCAACATTTTAGATTTTTTTTATGTTCCTTTTTTTATGCCCTTGACCAATTTTCGGTACAAATGTACCATGATAGATTAAAGAGGCTCTCTCTTTCTGTTAGAACCTGATATTATGATCTATATGAATATTGCAATGGCCTTGAGAACAGACAAGCAGTATTGCCATGTTATGTTGGTGCCTATAATTAAAGCAATTGTTTGAGACTACTTTCAAGTGGATTTGTAATATATACGTCATGTTAATGAGTAATAATCTATGATTTTATTCTGTAAAGCTTGGTTGTTTATGTTTCTAAATGCTGCTACTTTGTCTGCAGATATGTTTCTTGCTCTTGATAAAGATCAAAGTGGAACATTAAGCAAGCAGGAGCTCAAAGAATATGCAGATGGGACACTTACTGAGATTTTCATTGAAAGAGGTACTGCTTAATGCTGTCTATTTATCTTTGAAATATGGAGGTATCCTTGTTTTTAGTTAACATGAATGTTAGTATGTGTTTTTGCCACCAGTAAGCTATTTGAGTTCTCTTTGGTGTTGTAGAGATGATGCCATCTTTTCTGTTAATGGGTTTTCTTTTGAGTTACTCATTTTTTGCATTTGTTGTGATCTGAGTAGTATTCGATGAGCATGTTCGGCGTGGCAAAAGTGGTGGACCAAATTCTAGAGAGATGGACTTTGAAAGTTTTCTTGACTTCGTGTTGGCCCTAGAAAACAAAGACACTCCTGAAGGGTTAACATATTTGTTTCATTGTCTTGATCTTCATGGTCGGGGATACCTAACTACAGCTGATATCCATTCTCTTTTCAGGTGAAAGTCCCTTTCCTATCAACTATATTGTTGTTTTAATATTGTTTGATTTTTATGCTTCAAGTTACTGCTGGGAGCTGGATTATTTTACTTCCTTTCTTGAGCTATCAATTGAAGTAATGAATGGAAGTAGAGAAGGGAGTATCCAAGAGTTGTGATGTTACCTGATACAATCTTCCTATATAAAACTCTGTAGTTTCCTGCTTGTAGTACTTGAGCAACTTTCTGCAAGTCTCCGGATCTCCAGAGACATTAATCCTATAGATTGACGTTGAAGCTTCTTGTCATCACTTGCATCATACATCACATGACTAGGACTTGCTTTCTTTAGCAGTTTCCCCCCTAAAATGAAAAGGTTATCTGCTAAATTGGTTTCTGTTTTCATTCATGGAACAGAGATGTTCACCAGAAATGGATTGAAGGTGGGAACTATGAATTATGTATTGAGGACGTGAGAGATGAAATATGGGATATGGTCAAGCCAGCTGACCCGCTTACGATTACATTGGCTGACCTGCTATCCTGTAAACAAGGTGGGACGGTGGCTAGCATGCTCATAGATGTGCGTGGATTTTGGGCTCACGACAATAGGGAAAATCTTCTCCAGGAGGAAGAACCAGAGGAGGAATAATGACAATAACATGTATTATATTGGCCGTATATGTACTTGCCTAAAACGTAATGAATTGTAGGATAACATGTATTGTATTGGAGTTTCATACTCCTATACAAGCGTTGGTTGCATTCCATTGAATTGTATTATTATGCAGCTTTCCTGCTAATTTCAATGAAATATGTTGTTTGTATTTGTTAATTGTTACTGATGTTTAGAGGAAACTACCAAGAAGTGCTTCGGATTGGAGAACACAATTCTACAACTCACGTATGGAACTCCTTTCCATTAATGCAAGCCATTTAGAAAAGGATTACCTATGGTACGAGAAAATTGATTCATTGAAATTTTCTGGCTTAATACTACTTTAATACAATGATCAACCAAACATTTCATAGGATTTCAATATATCATATCTTATCTAATCCAATCTAATCTAACTCTTTAAACTTTTTCTAATCTAATTCAATCTTGTATTCTGAACTAGCTCATAAGGTGTTAAACATGATACAAAAATCTTTTGTTGATGTCACCTGGTTATTGTTAGTAAATAAATGTTATTAATGAATTATTGTCTAACTTGTAATACTATTTCAATCTTAGAGAAATTTAATGTATTATTAGTTAATAGAAAGATAATAGTTTAAAAACTTCTAAACTTAATAGATAAGGGTATGAAACCTTTATTTGAAAGGTTTTCATGTTTAAATTTAGACAAATAAAGTAATGTGAAATGTTGAAAAATTGGAATGAGGATTATACCTATTCAACACATGTACTAAACAAATAAGAAGTTTTCTTAAATTATATAGAATTATGATTGATCATCCTCTATATCCTCTTATAGTGAAAATATCAGGTTGCTTAAATTATGCAGAATGATAATCACTATGGATCCGAATCATATAACATATGACTGGAATACAAAATGAAAGTGTTGCCTCCACAATGGAAAAACCAGTGCACCAAACATCAGGGCATGTACGCAATTTGCAAAACCATGTGTTCTCAAATGCCGAAGCCCCAAACTAAAAGGGGTTGAATCCAATTTTCTAAAAGATTAAGAAAGCGAGCTTGGGCTGAGCACTCGTCACCGTCACCAAAAACTCCTTTCGCTTGTGTGTTCAAAACTCCTCCACTGTACTGTAACGCTAAAGAGCTCCGGCAAATGGAGGTTCCGAAGGATCAAATCGCTGCTCTTCTCGAAAATGGCCTCTACAGCTCCGCTCAAACACTCGTATTCTTCTGTTTTCTCAGATCTCTCAATCTCAATTCATAACCTAATCAGCCACAGAGGGGACGAAAATCCATTTCTCTGATTTATTGATGAAACTGTTTTGTGTTTCTTTGCAGGGTTCTTTCCTTGTTTCATCTTCTTCCGTCAATGCCGAAAGCAGTCCACACCTCAAAGCCGAAAATCTGGTTTGAAATTGTTCAAATTTACGGGTTTTTGGAGTTTCTTTTTTGTAAATTTAGTATTTTTAGTGAATTATAGCTGAAAAACGTTATATTTCGCTGCAGATTCTTCTTGGCGATGCTTTGTTTCGCGAAAGAGAGTATTGCAGAGCGATTGTAAGAGCCTTTTCTTTTTATTTCCTGAAGTAATATCCTTTTAATTTCTTAACTGCTAGGCTGAGTTAGGCTGTGATTTCCGGTTCACTTCATGCTCAATGTTGCCTTTAGAAGGATTTTCATTAATAAATGTTTTTGTGTACTTTAATTGAGTTTTGTGTTATTGGCTACGTTGCTTTCTTCTTCTTCTTCTCTCTCTTTTACCTGTATGCCAACAGCATACATATAAGCAAGCTCTGCAATACTACAAGATTATTCCCAAGCAAAATTCGACTTCTAGAAGTTCGTTGTCCTCATCAAATAGGTCATCTTCTCCAAATTCTTTCAACATATCAGCAATTAATGAGAATGAGGTTGTTGATTTTTTTCCTTTCGTTATGTTTTCTCAACTTCTTTCCTTTTATTTTTGGTGCAGAGTCTTGTGTATTAAAGGTTCAAAAGTTTTAACAGTTTCCTTCCTTCTCTTCATGACAGGTGAAGTTCAAAATTGCTTCTTGTCATTTTGCTCTGGGCGAAACCAAAGCAGCACTTGTAGAGGTCTCTCTCAAATCTCAATCGCCTTTTCCTGTTCTGGTTTCTTTGTCACTTCCTTTCCTAATATTTATGGTTGTGCAATTTGCCCTCTTGTCACTTGTGCCTTGCAGATGGAGGGAATACCTAGCAAAGCTAGAAATTTGCAAATGAGTCTCTTAATGGCAAAGCTTTATCGAAATTCGAAGCATAACCGGAGTGCTGTTGCTTGTTATAGAGAATGTTTAAGGTTTGTCAAAATGGATTTCATTTTTTTTCATTTCTCCTTTTCTGTAAGTCATGGCATTTTAACCTTTAAGTTTCTTTTTTGATTTCATTTGAGTATCCTTTTTTGTATCTTGAGTCAAAAGCTTGTGAGTTCTCTATGCTGTAGTTGAATTTTGAGTAATGACTAATGTAAGTTAGAGCCTGACCAAACCATTATAGCACTGGGGTGCAAATATGGGGTTAGAGCCTTGCAATGGGAAAATTGCCATTTTTCCTTTCATTACTTATTCTTTCTGTGTTACTGAAGTTTGTTTTTCACAATGTTAAAGGAAAATTGTACTTTGAAACTGATGGTTGCCACTTCTTGCTCGCCTAATTGTTTCCAGGGACCTTTGTTAATTGCTTTTATCCGTATTTGTTTTATTGTTTTGTTTCATCATATTAACTACATTTGTTGTTATCTTGTAGATTCCCCCTTTCTCACTGTCTTCTTCATTTGACATGCGTCAGCTGTGTCAGCTTCTAATTATTTTTCTACTTGTTCTTTCTTCATTATTATATTGGTAGTACAGTTAATATTTTATCATCATAACCTCTAAAAGCATACTTCTTTTTATTTCCTATTTTTGGTCCATTGTTGGCAGGCAATGTCCATATGTCATCGAAGCTATCACAGCTTTGGCAGAATTAGGTGCTACTGCCAAGGATATTATCTCATTGTTTTCCCAGGTCTGTTAATAGATATTATGAACCCTATACTTTTTTCTCATCAGTTAACCAAGCATGTAAGCTGTTAGCCATGTCTAGATGTACAACATATAACTGTTTCATTTGTTAACATTGAATCTCCTTTGAGTTCACATAAGGTGTTGTGAGGTGGTTGTGTTGAATCTCCCTGGCCCAAATTTCTCGTGGACTTAAACTTTATGTTGTTAAGAAAACCATGTCTATTTACCAAAAGAGAGAGAGAGAGAGAGAGAGAGAGAGAGAGAGATCATGTCTACATGGTACCTCATGCAGATTGGAATTTTGGATTCATTTTAACCTGTTTAATAAGGTTGCATGTTCTTACAGCTTTTTTGTCTACATAAAGTTTAAATTTTCTTATGTTCTTGCTCTTATTCTGTAATTCCAGACTCCAAATAGAAGTGGGAGGGCTCAATTTGACCATATTGATTCAGGCCGTTGGCTACAAGTAAGAACAAAATGACATGGGTGAATATATTTTTTCTATTATTAGCTACTTATCAACTTTATGAACTCCTTTTGCACTCTGGTTACTTATTCGGTGACATAGTGGCTTTGCTTGGCTACTAAAGGAAAATTTTTATCTGTTAAGTTGTCAGAGGAACAGACAGGAAGTTTTTCCTTAAACCAAGCTTGGCAACTGTCTATGCAACCATCTATTGAAATCAATGGCATTTTTATGCATTATGAGCATTACCAACTTTTGCTTCATTGCTCAATCTTGATGAAAGAGCATGCTGTCATTTTCACATCATAGTTCATGGAAATCATAAAAATAATACTTAACATATTTAGTAGGTTTCATCTTTGGCTTTGTCTTACCATTTTGGTATCATTTTAATGTCAGATTGAGATTTTCCTCTGATTGCATGGTTAACAATCTGTTGGTTATGTGCAGCGCTATGTTGAGGCCCAGTGTTGCATTGCTTCTAATGATTACAAAGGTAAAACAACTTTTCTTCTGATTCAGAGGCTTCGTTTTGTGTCTGCATTCTGGTCATGTATAAGTGTATAACTATATATACTACTGATACAGTGACCTCTCTTTTTCTAGTTGAATTTTTGCCTTGTGCCAGCTGTTTTGATTCAAATTTGTTCTGCAAGTAAAAAAGGAATCAAATTCACTGAATTTCTAGTAGAACCCTAAACCACACCCTATTACAATCCCTAACTTCCCCATAATTTCATTTACTTTATAATTAAATAACTTTGGAAACACGCCCAGAAACCCTTTAATTGTGATTGACCTCAATTCCCCTGTAGATGTAGATTTACTGGATTTGTTCTTAACCAGTGGATTTGTGATGGTTCTTGCTAATTTAGCTTAATCTCACTTTTAAATATTTTTCTGATTGATTTTGATTATTGCCTGCTTCTATACTTTTAATGATTTTCCATGACAATTGTTGCATTCATTATCCTTATTTTTATAATTTTCTTAATATGTTGACAGGTGGTTTGGAGCTCTTTGCAGAACTTTTACAACGTTTCCCTAATAACATTCACATATTACTTGAAATGGCAAAGGTTAGGAATGGGATACTCTAATAATATAGCTTTTGACTTGTGAGATTTATTGAAGAAGTTTTCCTTTCTTGCACTTTGTCTGCTGTATTTGGTTGGGACCATATGTGCTCGCTCAATTCACCTGGAATGTTGGCTTGGGGGTGCCAATAGGCATCCGTTCCTTGTACTGGAACTATTATGTATGATATGGGTTTCAAGGTCAAAAGATCATGTATCACCTTAAAGTTTCTATCTGCTGAAATGTGTCATTAGATGAGTGATTATCATTTTGTGAAGTCAAGATTAGAAGGAGGGAATTTTGGACAGCATTTATGACTCAAATTGGCTGTTAGCTTTAAAATTTTAAACAGAGAAAGAAGGCAAGGCTAAATTGTGCAAGTGTATTCGTGTTCTCTTTGGTTAAAGGTATGACTTATAAGTGGGGGCATGTTGGGACTCATGCCCACATATTATATCCTTAACTGTCCCAACATCCATATTGGCTCACAGTAAGGGTAGTGATGGTTAGGAATACAGTCACAATGTACATGCCAAATGTTTGAGCCTTTATAACATGACAAGTTATGTCAAATTTTTTAATTATCTGGATTTCAACAACAGCTAGATCATTCTGACTCTTCTTTCTGTTGACTAATGGATATTCCTGTGTGTCAAGGTTGAAGCCATTATTGGAAAGAATGATGAGGCCATAGTGAATTTTGAGAAGGTAATAGATTTAACATATTATATTCATAAATGATTTCTCAGATTGGCACCTACATGCACACACAGGAATGGATCATAATGGATGGGCTTGATTTGACTGTTCTTTTCAGGTTCGAGCTATAGATCCTTATGTTATGACTTACATGGATGAGTATGCGATGCTTCTAAAGATGAAGTCTGATTATTCAAAGTTAAACAAGTTAGTGCATGATTTGATAAGTATTGATGCTACAAGGCCAGAAGTTTCTGTGGCTCTATCTGTTTTGTGGGAAAGGAAGGATGAGGGGACTGCATTATCTTATGCTGAAAAGGTTAGCATGTCTCTGAAGTAAATCTAGTTTGTTTTCTTTTCACTATTGATATGTATATTTTTCTCTGATGCTGTATATGTCTAATAGTCCATTTTTTCACTATCAGTGTACCCGAATTAATGAGAGGCACATACCAGGTTATATAATGAAGGTATTGAAATGATTTTTCAATTGACAGAATGTGGATTATTTTTTTCAAAGCCTTTGAGCAGAATATCTTTCAAATGCCTGCCAACTTCTTCAAATTTGAGATTACTATCAATTAATAATTGTTTCAGGGAAACCTCCTCTTATCAATGAAGCAGCCAGCAGCTGCTGTACATGCCTTTAGAGGAGCTCTAGAATTAAGAGCTGATCTTCGTTCATATCAAGGTGTGTTTTGGATTAAAAAAAAAAATTGAAAACAAGAAAGAAAAAAAAAATAGTATATTCTATTTTACCTGCATACAGTGCATCTTATACAGTTATACCTATTACCGTCTTCTCCATGTTTGCTGGAATTATTTTTTAGAGAAATAAAAAAAGGAAAAAAAATTAAGAACCATTTCAAATTCTGTTAATATTACAATTTCAGGTTTGGTACATTCCTATTTGGCATCTTCTAAAGTCAAAGAGGCCCTATATGCTGCCAGAGAGGCAATGAAGGCCATGCCTCAGTCTGCAAAAGCTCTAAAATTAGTTGGGGATGTACATGCTAGTAACTCTAGTGGCAGAGAGAAGGTAACCTGCAAGAGATTACTTTAAGGCAGAAATAAGAAGTTCAGTTTCCCTCCTAGTATAAGGTTTGAAAAAATAGTGCAATTGATCTCTGAACTGATAACAGGCCAAAAAGTTCTATGAATCAGCACTCAGGCTGGAACCTGGTTACCTTGGAGCTGCACTAGCTTTGGCTGAGCTCCATGTCAGTGAAGGCCGCAATGAAGATGCTGCATCCCTGCTTAAGCGGTATCTTAAAGATTGGGCTGATGACTCTCTTCATGTCAAGCTTGCTCAAGTATTTGCTGCTACTAATTCGCTGCAAGAGGCTTTGACACATTATCAAGCTGCATTGAGGTTAACTCATTTCAGGATATAATCCAATTTTCATTTTCACTTTAAGATTCTAGATCTTATGAGGTTAAGTATTTTATCTGTCATTATGAAAGGCACTGTTACAGCCTCTTAATTATATACATGACAGAGGAATACCATACCCTTTGCCAAACTGTAATTTTTTGTCTGGCTCATTGCAGAATAAATCCACAGAATGAAGCTGCCAAGAAGGGTTTAGAGCGGTTAGAGAAGCAGATGAAGGTTTGTCTCCCTGATAGTAAAGCTCAACTTTCATTTCCATGACATGTATCCACACTATTTGTCTGGAAGCTTTGTGTTTCATCCAAATTATATTGGTGTGATGCAAAATTCAATATTCTGTTTGACAAAATGTAAAAGGAGAAAAGGAAGTGGGTTTTGTTTTGGTTCTAGGTGAACAGGCACAAACCCCCTTTTTTTTACTGATTCTGAGACTGAACCAATGACTGCTTGTAGGGAGTGGATCCAGATGCCCCTGAAGAAGATGAAGAAAATGAGGTAGATGATGCTGATGGAGAAGTAGAAGAGACTGAGCTTCTGTGATGGTGAGTGATTCAAGATCTTTCAGTGGAAGAGAAAAAGACCCCTCGAATTTGCTGATTTTTAATTAGAAAATTCTCATGACAACAAACCAAGGCAAGAAGTCTGGACGCCGCCCCATGACCTGGCTTATGATTGAAATATTGAGATTTTGAAGTTTCGATAGAAGCAGAAATCGACACCAGGTTAACATGTACTAATGCAATGATGAAATGGTGTTTGCCTATTGGCACCAAGTTGTAAAAATCAATGACACTGTTTCTTGTACCAAAAAAATGATACAGTTGTGTTTTAATGATTTAGTCTGGAGTAAGTTTATGAATTTGAAAGTTTAAATATAGACAGCTGAAGTAAAAAGAGTATTCTTTTTTCTAAATAAAGTTTTGAATTTAACCCTTATAATTGAATAATGAAAAAATAGACCTTAGAAGAATTTTCTTTTTATAAGATCTAATATAACTTAATTTTAAATTAATTAAAATTTAATATGATTTTTAGATATAGAAGGATTTAGCTAAAAAAAAAAGAAGAAACTTTACCTGACCCTTATAAACCGGAATATGAGATACTAAAAAATGCACATATTTGCATAACAATGTTGAAGTTGTCTTCACATATCAAACAAATTGGAGGAAATATAACCAGAGTAGAAACGAAACAGATGAGACAATTCACATATGTACAAGACATAACTACAAAAATAAGATCGCAATGCCGAATCAGTTGGTTAGGTTTCATGGGTCATATAGCCAGACAGGACATCAAGGTGCTGAGGTTAACCGTTTGAAGGAAATCTGAACTGTTCTGGCTGCCATGGATTTATCTTCTCGAAACCCTGCCTCCCTGAAAGATCATCCAACCCAATGAATGGACAACCTTTATTGTTCCTATTCTTATCTGAGGCTATACTTGGAATGGTTTCCTAGGGGTGGGGGCTCGGTTTTCCAGAGACTGCAATCGTTGTTTGAGATGAAAAACTTCAACCTGCAACGAAAATTCACAGGAAAACTACTTTAGTAAGACAAATATCGAACCCATTATCTAATTAACAAAAAGCATGTAATGATGACTATGCATTTCATCATTTGTGGTGTACTATCAATAATGTCTTGAAATTTTTTACAAAAATAAGGAGCCTAATATCAGCAAAATTAACCTAGGGTGACAGACGTGTACGCGCATGCATACATCTGCATGATATGATATAACTACAACCATAATATATTTTCATTTCAATTTCCATTAATGGTTCTAGTTTAAATTCACACCTGAAGCTGGAAAGCTCTGGCCCTTTCACCTGCAAGGACTCCTCTGGTTGAATGCAGCTCCTAAAACAAGTATTGAATAATCAAATCACTTAAACTGCCTCATCACTCAAATTCAGGTTGCATTGTAATCTAGCACGAGAGAAAATCACATACCTTCTGTGTATCATCCAGTACTGCCTTGAGAAATGCAACATCATGTTCAAGTCTTACATTGTCAGAGTGAACAATACTAGATAAGTTGTTGGCTTCTTCTTGTGCTAGCTCTACACCAGCTAGTTTCTCCTTCAGTAACTCAGTCTCCTTCATTGTGTCTGATAACTTTTTGTCCATCTCCTGTCTGCTCTTCAGTGCAGCTGATAAGTTTCTCTCTGCAGCATCTCGGCTAGCCAAAGCAGCTGCCAACTTTCCTTCTAAAATTCCATTTTTCCTTATTAGGGCAGCCATTTTCATCTCATAGAATTGATATATGCTTGAAGGAGCTGATAGCATTGATTTACTATCAGTTTCTGGGAATATAGCATTATAATTATCAACAGTAAGGTTTCCAATGCCTTCCATGTAGAGACTTGAACTTTCAGAATCAAATAGTGAAGAATCCTCTGAATTGATTTTGCCAATAGGAACATTGGTCGATATTACTGCATCAGATTGGATGGTTTTATGGTCTGATGCCTGAAAAATCAAGACAATATTCAAAACAGTAATCATTTTATATGGTTGTTAGTTGTTTACCAATAGAAGATATGGAACAGAGAAGTTTCCACACTTACCTGCAAAACAGAATTTTCTTCTTCTGAACGCTTGGGTATCTTAACAGCTGTGTTGCATTCTTCCTCACGATGAAATTGCTTGCGAAGTGAGACAATTCCAGAAACAGGATTATGATCAATGAGTGATGACTCTGATGAAGATCTTCTACCAGAACCGTGATGTTCAATCATAGATGCCAGATTCTGTTTAGGAACAGAATCAAGCGAGTGCTGAGAAGAATGGGTAGCAAATGCTGTAGACAAGGGATTTTTACCAAACGGCTGTTGTGTCACTGCACATTTACTTTTACTTGGAGTAGATCGCCTACCCGTAGATGACTCATTCTTCTCCATTATTAGTACTTCCACCTGTAACAGGAAAAAAATATAAACAATCAAGACTAGTCTAAGGGTCTGTAAATGCTAAACATGTGACTTCAAACTCCAACCTGATTTGATGGCTCTTTCCGAGATCCTCCAAATGCAACAAGAAAATCTTTGTCTTTGTGCTGCACAAGCACTAGGCTAAATCCCTGAGCATACAACAGTTAAGGGGAACAGTTATATCAACATACGAAAAAAGTTGAGCCACCAGCATGCCATAACATCTTAAAGTGATCTTTTATCAAAAAGAGCAGAAAAGCACATGGGAGCAAGAGCTTATTGATAAAAAGAGCATATCAAAGCATAGTATCCTTATACAGAAAAAATCCCAGTTCGTCAGATATACAGTTAAGCATTAAAAGGCTTGATCATCTATGCAAACTACAACATGCTCACCTTGTTAGAAGTGATAGAAGATGGAGGTGAAGAAATGGCCTGAGACCACTCCACTTTTAAAATATCAAAGATGAAAGTCTCTGCATGTCCTGGAAAGGGAAAAGGAAAAAGAAGAAAAGAAAGGTAAGGGTGAGTGCAAAATCTAAGAGAACAAAAAAAAACAAATAAGATCAATATAAAGAATTTTAGACCCTTAGATTAATCAATTTTAAGTCTATATTAGATGTACTTCTTCTAATTACTCTCAGCCCCCTCCCTTCCATAGATTCATTCAGACACCTTCAAGAAATGAAGAATTAAATAGGAGGGGCAAAAATGCAACATTTTGTTTAATGCTCACATAATGGAATGATATGAGTAACTAGGAGCTCAATCACTTCAAACTTCACCAGAGAGAAAGCAAATCAAGTTCATGTGAATGAATTCTTATCAAAGTTCTATAATTATTAACAAATCTGACACATGCTTGTTATTATGACACATACGTTTTTTCCTGCTTCCACCTCCTGCTATATACCATTTAGTTCCACATAGAACACCACAGCAACCAGCTCTGGGTGATGGATGAAAACCTCGTATTTTTATTCTTGACCATATCATCTACCAAAAATAAAAAAGGGAAAGAAAGAAAGAAAGAAAGAGAAGAAGCATCCCAATTAATATTTGATTTGAAAACTGTGGATAAAAAATATGACTTGAAATGGAAAATGAGTATGTTTGGATCAAAAAAATGATAATAAAAAAAATGACAGAGATAAAGGTTTTACATACAGTTTCAAAGTCAAGTGAGTACAAGTCATTCAATGTTTTGGACTTTGCAGTTCCACCAAATATATAGAGAGTTTTATCATCATAAAGAGCTGCCACATGGTTGGATCTTGGAGAAGGTCCCGTTCCCCTGTACAGCATATGGCCAATCATTTAAAATTCACTCATTGACATCACTTGGAACATGAAATTGGGTCAATCAAAAGAAAAAAAAAAAAGAATTCTATCAGTAAGGTAAAATCTATCAGTTATGGGGTCATTAGAGGAAACTATTGACAACTTGTATCAAATATGTGAAGGCTCACTCACGTGCAATGAAGTGGGAGCCATGTCGAAGACTTCAAATCAAACATATGTAGGTCATTCAGTTTCCTCTTTTTAGCATCCTCACCCGCAAAGAGGATTAAAACAGAGCTCGCCCTAACCACAGTATGACCACTTCGAGCAACCTAGAAGGCAATAAATTAATTGTCAGGACTTCTTAACACCACATTGTAAAGGCCTAAATGCTGCACCTTCATCTAAGGATTGGTATTGTCCACCATAATTTACCGTTATCAGTATGTCCCATTTTTGGCATCTAGAAGACCAACAATAAGATAACATATCCTTGTACGTATGCATGCCAAATATAAAATATATTGAAGATCCATACCCAAAATATTCATCCAAACATGAATATCATAACTTTAATATCTTTTTGTTCCCTATAAACTCTAAAAGCTTTTAGAAGATCCAGCCATGTTCTTTTATGGCAATGTTTAGAAGGAAATAGATAAATGATGAATTAGCTGAGCTGTGATTCCCAGGTAGAGTTCTAAGGTACATAATTGTGTCTACTTCAGATGCATTTGTCAATTCTCACTTTTAAATTTTAATCAGAAAAGGTACCGGTATGTCTCCTTTTGCCTCCATAAGTGACCAGCATTCTGTCTCAGTGTCAAATGCCCATACTGCAAAAACCAAAAATGATAATAAATCACATCATGTCAAATGAAAAATTGATGAAGTTAGGGGCACAAAAGGACTCAGAGTCAGAACCAGAAACTCTCTCATTCCCAGGGTCAGTTTTTCCTCCAACCAGTAGGGCCTTTTTCCCCCATGAAACCTAGATGAGGCAAACAATATAAATAACTTTTAAGTAAATGAAAAATTCTAACACTTTTGTCTCAGATTTAGTAGAAGAATAAATTGAACGGGTTGAGCAATGTTAAAAGTAGTAAAACATAAGTAAGCAATCTGATTACAAGTCGGTCAAACCAACAATCTTATTATCTTTCTGTCCTTGCTTATCAACCATATGAGAAAAATATTTTGGACATTTCAAGAATAAACTGAAGATTCAGTTTTCAGATATGAGCATTTATCCTTTCTATCATTCAGTTGACTCATGGTTGCCAAAGCACAGGTTCTACAAAATCTCTAACCATTGATAATTTCCTATTTTTTAGCCATGGACACAGCACACTAGGTAACTAACTTCAACTCCAATATACCATTGCATGCAAAGAGAACATAAGAGAATAGAAGATACCAGGCTATGGCCCTTGCATGCAGGAATCTTCAGTGGAAGACTGCTTGGTGACAAGTAAAGTTTTGATGAAGCTGTGCTCCAGGCACAGTTATCAAAATTAAGCACCTATATAAAAACAGCAAACTTATTGGACAACAGTTTATGCCATGCATCAAGACCATAAAAATTTTTCAGAAAACAAGTCAAATGAAATAACCATGACATTTTTTGTTCATAAACCATCAATTATTTACACATCAGTACTTTACCTGTACATCATCTAACAATCCATTCCCAGTTTCACCACCAACCACTATCATCTTGTTCCCAACTACAGCTGCTGCATGCTATTCATTCATGCAAAAATAAAGTTTTATTTTGGCATCACAAACTCAAATTGGTATAACAAAAATGAATGAAATAAATCCATCTTGAAATTGGCAAGAACATTTTTGTTTTTTGGCCAGTGGATCAACAAGAACATTGTTTTACATTTAAACGTGAAACAGGGTTTTCCCCTGTAACTGACAACACCATCCAATTCTCAGAGCTCCCTGATGTACAATTATTAATCTCAGGTGCCGTAGAAGGACCATGGCAATCAAGTTCATCAGAATTACCATTAGCAGGCGCATCAGACTCAGCCTATAAAATTTGTGAAGAAATTTAGCACATTGTGCACATGGCAACCAAAGCTAAACGACAATTGAGCAAGTTAAATGCCTCACATTTGAACTAATGGTACGTTTAGGAGGTCTTATTGGACTTCTAAATCCCTGAGCAGCGTCTGAAAGCTGAACCTTCTTCACTCTACAGAACAGCAATGTACCAAATCATTAGGAACTAGGAATATTAATCACAGAGTTGCATAAAAGTTTGCATGGAATTCAGCAAATAGTTACAGCAAATAGTTAAACTGTTAAAGTTAAAACCTTTCTAAAGAAGCCATGTACCCTATGCCTGTTATATAAGGGATTTGAGTATTTTTTTAAATCAACTCCGGCTTCCAATCTTGACTTAATGTCTCAATAATTGCAAAAGCTCCCTACTATTTTCTAAGTTGACTGAGTTCTTAATTTTCATACAAATAATAAAAGTCCAAACCGGCATTGGAAATGTTAAAACCAACCAAAAATGAAAATAGGAGCAAATGGGGAAGAAAAAACTGACCTGCCAAGCTTCTTGCGTCTACGGGAGAAGCTAAACATTTTCTCTAATCAGACACTCTACCCAGCAAAGCAACTATTTTCACTGAAATCCACAAAACAAAACCCTAAAATTTCAGAAAAGGAAGTTGCATTATCATCAAAAGAAATCCCCCAAAAAAAGTAAAAGCACAAAACCCAAAAATATCTAAATACTTATCAATAAACAAAGAACTTCCTAAAACAGAACAATCAAACCCACATTGCCAACATGCCACAGACTCACCTCAACCTAACAGAAGAATAACCCTTCCCAGTGTTTGGAAGCTAAGAAAACAGAGTAAAAACAGAAGAAACTAAAGATGGCATTAATGGGGTAATGAAGAAGAAACCAGGTGCAGAAGAAGAAGAAGAAGAAGAAGATAAGGAGTGGAGATAGCAGTAGGTGGTGAAAAACTGTTAGGTTGAGAAATAAGTTAGTATTGATGATTCAACAATGGAAGTTGCGTTGCAGAAGTGAGCTGGACCCATTGAAGAGGACGAGAGAGTAACTACGGCTCTGAATGAAAGAAATAAAAAAGTGTTACTGTCGTTTTCTGTTGCTTTTATGTGATTTTTGTCTGAAGTCAAGATTCACCAGCTTTTCATGGCCTCGATCAATGAAAAAAAAAATTGAAAGTAATCTGGTGAGTATGATTGAGCAGCAGGCATGGGAGTGAATTATAGGGAAAATAATTGAAAATAATTGTGCAATTTAGAATTTGAAGAGATGTGAAAGATTAATGAAAAGAGTATTTTTTAAGACAGCAACAGATTAAAATTATTGGATAAGAGAGAGGTTTTTTTTTTTTCTTATGAAAAAAATATAATATTAAGTTAATATCTACTTTAGTAAAGTCAAATTTAAGATTCAACTTGTGGATCAAAATACCAATGTTTTTGGACCCGGCCCGGCCCGGTCGGTTGAACCGGTTGAACCAGACCCGGGCCTAAAAATGGACCGATTGAAGGCTTTAGCCCGTTTAGGTGAATGGCCCGTTGAAACCCGTTGACACTCGCAAGCCCGTCGTGCCCGCTGAACCCGTGTGACCCACCATGCTCGCCCGGGCTGAAATTTTTAGTTTTTCACCATCTTTTTAATTTTAAATTTTTGTCTTTTGACTTAAATTAAAGTTTAAAACCTAAATTAAAAATCAATTAAACTAATTAACTAAGTAAAAACTAAAAACCCTAAGAATCTAAAATCATAAGCAGCTCGGGACAGTGGAAACTGGAAAGTCTGGAAACAAATTGCAAAACCCAGATTCAGGACCGGCCTCTTCCCAGTCCTACTGGCTGAGTGTTTGTCTTCAAACAGTCGAGTCATGGGTTCTGGGTTCGAAGGTCTGGTGAGCAGAGCAGAAAACCCAGATTCAGGAGGAACCAAGTACCAACAGAACTGCAGAAGGGTCTTCCGCCGATCGTCCGCCACTCCGCCGATCTTCTCTTCGCCGAGTCCGCCAATTTCTCTTCCACTAATCGTCCGCCGATCTTCTTCTCTGTCACTGCACTTCTTCTATTCCGCTGATCTTCACCATCTACCTCATCTGATTGGCTCAAAACAGAACAGATCATCTTCGGGAAAGTGGTTTCTCTCCTCTGCTGAGCACCTCCTCCTCATCTCCTCTGTTGACTGTCGATCACCTCCTCCTTCCTCACTGGACTGAAACAGCAAAGCAAAACAAAAGTCACACTGTTGCAGAACATACCATCTCCTCCATCGCTGCCCTCCTTCTCTTCCTCACTCCTCTGTCGGTGCCCTTCTTCTCTCTACTCCACCGAACAGAAGCAGCAACGAAAATCAGAAACTTCCTCGTCATTCACTCAAAATAGAGTAAAACTAACCTACAACAATAAAATTCAATAAAAATGTCAAAAAAAATATTTTTTTAGTTAACCGGTTAAACCAATCGGGTGAACCAATTCAACCGGTTGACCCGGACCCGGTGGTCAAAACGGGCCAGCCACCGGGCCGGGTTCAAAAACATTGCAAAATACCTTTTAGATGCTCTTAAGGAGTAATTGCAGAGAGAGAAGCGTAAAAATTTATTACCTTCATAGAAGGTAGTTGGGGGTATTTATAACCCCCAAATGCTGACCTGCACCTGTACGTGTGAGCATCACATTAGCCCACGTGGTACTGGTCACGTGAGCATGCTGGTACCGATGCCCCCTTTAGTTTGGGTTGAATGGTGGCCACCTAGACCCGTTATGCATAACCCTGTTTGGATGTTGGGTCTATTCCAACAATATTAAAAGTGTGGTCGTCGTTGCAGTTACGCGTG